AAGGTGCTCTTGTAAAAGTATATATCTTGCATGATTTAAAAAGCAGTATTGTGAAAGCAATAAACAGGAATCATATTTATTTGAAAAAAATATTTAGCTGTTGATTTTTCATTATCAGTGAATATCAGTTTAAAATTGTTTGGATACTTAGGTTTGAATTTTCTGTTCACTAAAATGAATTTTGATATGAAGATGTTACAACATATCTTTTAAATATTTATTTTTATTCATAAAAGGTATTTTAAAAAGGTTATAGAAATAAATAATATATTTTAAATATTGAATTATTAGTAGCATTTTATATAGATTTTTTGTTATATTCTGTGCAGGTTTTTTGTTTTTATTCGGATTTTTAAAATTGAAAATATTAAAATTGTTAATTTGTGAATCACATTACCTGTAGAAATTTACTGTATTTTTAAACTTGCGTCTAATTTATTTTTCTCCCGTTAAATTTTTATTTATGCTATCAGATAATGGAAATAAATACCGAATATTTTTGCATTTCCTCATTTATTGCAAAAATGTGATAAATCTTGTTATTTATGTCAAAATGCAGCATTTTTAGTGCCATGAGTTACAGTTTAAAATGTGAGTAATTGCTTTTTGCCTCTCTCCTAAATGGTGAAATGATTTAAAATGGATTAGACTAAAAAGTCTTATATTCAAATTTTTCTAAATGTTCCAAATTTCCACATTTTTGTTTTGTTTATAATTCTTTATTGTGTTAGATGTCCATAGGCATTCTTAAATCTATTATATGTCATTCAACAATGGACCATTGAAATGTTGAGGATTGACCAATAAAATTAATTTTTTTAACTAATGTGATATACACTGTATTCTGTATAAATGCAGTTTAACCACCCATTTTATCATCTAGGAAACTTATATTAATGATATTTCTTACGAGAGTTGTTATCAAAACCTTTGCTAAAAATGTTAAGTTTTTAACCTTCACCATTTTGTCCTAAAAATTATGTAATGAAATTTTGTTAACAATTTGAGAATTTTATTTTTCTCTGTTTGGGAGAATAAAGGATTACATATCAATAAGATTAGGTATTAATTTTTGTAAAAAAAAAAGTTAAGGTTGTAGACAAATGTATTGTATTATCATTATTGTAGGTTTTTTATAGGTTACCTTTTACACACACATTCCTTTATTCATAATATTGTTAATTTAATATTATAGTAACATATAAGTGCCATTTTTCTTTCAAGTGTTTTGTGTAGCATTTTTGTTTTTTGTATTGTACAATTATTGGTTGCATCTGCACTTTTTTTGGAGGGTGGTATTAAAAACTAGACTAGTTCTCCAATAAAAATATTGGAAATGTATGACTTAAACTTATATTTTTGTGCACTCTTTGTTTAGATAGATTTAAGATTAAAAGGAAAGTAAAGTGCACTTATACTTATTATTTGATTGATATAGATAAGCCATGTTAGATATTGTCACATTAAATAATATATCGATTAAACTCTGTAAGATGTTTGTTGTTATTAGAACAATTGTATGTTATTGCCCTCTCCCTACCCCTTTGTTTTAGTGCTGGAAAATATCTCAGCTTAGAAATCTTATCCTTTATGTAACTAATCAGAGCAGTGCTGATTTAAGATCATTTTGGGAAGATCCACACGCCTCCTTGGCTCTGGTGGATCGAAATTTATAACTAGAAAATCTGGTTAAACTCGCACTAAATTAGAGGTAATATTGTAAAAAAAAAAATTAGCTTTGAGATTTTAAAATTTTTTTAAAAAATGTCTCATTTCAAAAACTTTTACCCAGTTTACTTCAATATTTGAAAACTTTAGTGTGATTTTTAATGGATTCCCCATGGTTTTAGCAATTTTTTTTCTGTGATACTCTTGTTTACTTTTTTATGTTGTCCTTTTAAATAAAACTTTTATTTCTTTACATGCCACTGTCTATTGAGAAGTTAAAGGGGAGAAAAATTATGTATATAAGTGTAGTCTGTTATTTGAAAATCTTGTATAATTTGTTTAAGTGTTCACTTCTAAAATGTGCACAAGTTATGCCTTGGAAAAACAGATTTCTTTGTTTAGTTTTTATATCATTTGCAATCACATTTATTTCATATGTTTTGAGATGTGTATTTTTCGATTCAATTACGATTTTTTTGAGAATATGGATAGTTATCTTTTAGAACTATACTGGATCTATTATTATGTGTTGGTTGAAAATAATTTAATTTAAAATTTAAATATGTTAGACACATGCACGTGTATCTATTTAATTTTATAATGATCCAATTTGTGAAATTTATTATTTTTTCTTTGTAATATTTTTTTTACCATGTTATCAAATTATATATTTGTTTTCCTCTCCAGTTATTATTATTTTAAGATTAAATTAATAAAATGCTTTTAGAGTTTCTTATTTTGGAAAACTATTTTTTTAACCATGAAATAATATTTTTTTCTGTCATTAACATGATAAAAAAAATTTGAAAAATAGCAATTTTTCATTAGCATATAAAGGTGTGTAAATTAAGTTGCTCATTAGTTAAGGGAAAAAATAGAAAATAATTGTTTTTGTTTAATTAACATTAAAAGTAAGTTTGAAGTACTATTTTAATAAAATAAATGATTTTACAAGTATACTAAAATTCTATAATCAACTTAAAAAATAATTTCTACTGTTTACTAATCAACCTGTTTAGGAGAATGTGTAAGTTATAGAAAATAACAAAGTCTATTGCTATTTATAAATTTGGTAGAAAAAGTAAATAAACTGCAAATCTTATACACTTAAATTAGCCTATAGTAAATTATTAATTTGAATTTCATAGTATGAAATTGTTTTAATGTATTGAATGATAAACTACACTAAACTCTTAGAATCGTATTTATGAGGACTGTACTCATATAAATATCAACAAAATTTAACATTGAAAATTGCACAATAGAAAGTATTTTAAATACCTGAAATTAAAAGAATCCATTAAAGAGTTAAGGGTAGTTAATTTTTCATAGCTTGTGTGAGAAAAATTTACAAAATCTGTTGTTTGAAAAAAATTTAAAATGTTATTTTATATAATATTTGGTGGTAAAATAAATCGTTTAAAAAAACCTTTAAATCCCAAATCATATACTTAACCCCTTGACTGCCAGTAAAAATTTAAGCGATTTGCTCTCCAGTGCCCAATTTTTCACTTGGGTGCTTGGAGTTAGTTATTTGGGGAAAAGGAAAGATACATAAGTAAATCCTTTTCAAGCACTGTCAAGGTCATTTTTACTTATAGCAATGCAATGCAAAGAATTATACTTCAGAAAGGAGTGTATATAAATCAGCGGTAGTTAACACACTTGCTGAGCAAAGCATATGTATATACCCACAGCAATTAAGGGGTTAATAATGAATAATTTACATATTGCTCTTGTTGTGTGCAGAGGATGAGCTTGGGTTTTTTTTCAACAAAAAAGATTCATATGTTTCATTTTTCTGTTTATTCTTAATTAGTTAACTATTGTTTTATGTATGAATTACATTTGTTTTACAATTGCATAGTTTAAAAAAATTAGCCCCTTAACACAATAAATATTAGCGAAGTATTTTTTTAATTAGGTACTTAAAAAATATTTTTTCAAAAAAGGAATTTTTGTTCATTTAAAAAAAAAATGCCTTTATAATAATTTGCTTGCATATTTTTTTATTTATTTAACCTTTCAACTTTTATTGCATTATTTGCTTAGTTCAAAAAGTGCAATTTATTGGTTAGTGTGTTTATTTTGATTTTAATGAGTCCCATTTCTTGAATTCAAATTAATGAAACATTTGATGCAATGGAAGAATAGATCTGCTTGTAGAAAACTGCATTTAATACAAATGTTTAAAAATTTAATCCAGTCTTAATTTGTTTACATATGTATAAATGTGCAGTCTATGAAGTAATCTTAAGTCTGTGATTATAAAAAAATTATTTTCAACATTATCTATAATATAGTGGATTATCAAAGGTATCAAATGAAAAATATTTAATAGCATATTAATTTTGTTAAATCTATTTCTAAGAGTTTTTTTTAAAAAAAAGAACAGTATTTTTGTTGAAAATATTTTAAAATATATATGTAAATAGCTATTTTGATGAAATTGTTTTTATACATTTCTATGAATCATTGTATGTGAAAAAGACAATCGCATTACACATAGAAAATATTTTCTTATGAATTGTATGCTTGTAGTGGACCAGTTTTAAGGTGCATTATACGAAAACGAATTTGGAACAGTCTGTTTCAAATTTTTAAAATAAATGTGTTCATGCGAGTAACTGTGCATTTTGTAATCAAATAATTGCTTTAAAAAAAATTGTCAGTGGTTCTGTACTTTCAGGGCTGCTTTTTCATTGTTGGTCTTGTTTTTACTATTGTTACTTTGCTTCTCTATTTATGCCTTGTTCAAGTTGAATAAAATTTTTATTTATTCAGTTGTTATTCACTCATTTTTCCTTAGTAAATAATTTTCCTCGTTTTTATTAATGCATCAACACCTCAAAATCTTTTTGTGGTAGAATTGTTTCCTGTAATTGCACGGTATATACGTAGTCATGACATAAGCTCTGATACAAAAATTTGAGATCGTTTGCTGGGACTCTAAACACAGAAGACGATTTTAAATTTCGATTTAAGTAATAAAAAAGGATGCGCACTTCGAAGATATCGAAATTTTAATCAATAAGTGCACAAGTATTAAAAAAAATTAGGGTAACAAATTAGTGGAAACAAAATTAGTAATAAGGAAACACGAAAATCTCAACGAAGTTAGTCAGTGGAGTTGCTCAAAGAGTTTCATCAAATCCCATCCCAAGAACCTTCAGGGAATTGAAAGAAAGTTTTGCGAACCAGTTCGCGCGCTGAACTCAAGTCAGCCCAGCTGAGATCTATCTTCAACTAGCAAGAATTATAAAAATATCGCAGGAGATGCAGGAAGAGTATTTTGACAGGATAAAGGAAATAGCCTCCTGAATTAGGATGTGGCTGCGGTAGCCTAGTGGTCAAGGTAACTGAAGCGTGTCATGAGTTCGAGCCTCGTACCGCTGAAGACCCGCCTTACAGAGGGAGGGGGTGGCAGGTTAAATATGTCGAGACTTAAATGTCATTCCGTTGGTGTGGTGTGAAAGTCAGGAGAAGGCGGTGCTTGGATATCATCCTCGTCACTCTAGGTCCGTCGCCAATAGCCCTCGTGCAGCTATATACAAAGTAAATATAATTCTTCCCCACCCTTGAATTAGGATGGATGGAGCATCCATAAAGTTTATCATACACGGATTGAAACCGAATACCATTGAAATGCAATTCCCGAGATCTTAAAGACATCAAAATAATGGACAATGAGAAAAGTAATCAATTTACATGAGCAGATATCCCGAAATTTTTCCGGCCTGTGGTGGCTGAGTGGTAGCGTATCGCACTTACACGCCGCATGTCAAGGCTGGGCTGGGCAGGACAAGGTTGACTCATCTTTTCATTCCTTCGATGGGTCGAGAAATGAGAACCAAACTTGCTTGGGAACTAAACACAGGGTTTCGCGTCAGACTGACTACCTGACCGGAACATCTGCGAAGGCACCTCTGGGCCCAAGATCATGAAAACTGAGATGTGCACAGTGGGCCTTGCATCCCATGAACTGTTGCACCACTAGGTTTAGTTTAGTTTTTTTCAAGTCCAGAGGAGCAGGGACGTCTTAAGGCATGGGCCCAGGGCCTCGTCTTGTTCTCGACTCAGCCTTAAGATCATTAGATTCGAATAGTTTCAATGGTCAAATGTTTCTTTCGGGTTATTCTCTCCGAAAAAAATGGGAATTTCGGACGATATGTCAACTGGCTACATGTGAGGACTGTCGTTCAAGCCTAGGCCTACCACCATACACCATTATATTTTTTGTACACTTGACAACATTTGGGTCTATGTTTGCGTAGGAGTCCAGGGCAGGGGTATAGCAACCATTATATTAGCCGTATCAATGATATGGGCGCTAACAAGTGTAAGCAAAAAGTCGTAAAATATTAAGGGTCTGAACGTAACAAGAACTCCAAGGAATTTTTGATACAGGGCCCTCTAAGATCTAGCTACGCCAGTGGCCCAGGGCCTCTAGAAGTCTTAAGACGTCCCTGCAGAGGAGAGTAGAACTTCACCATTTGAAACCGCCTGCTAATCGACAGCAGCACGGATAGTGGAATTCGAGGGCGGTCAACATCAGCAAGCACAAAAAGCGTCTGATTCCCTCATCAGTGCCTGATGGTGATTTTTCCATGGAATGACCCGAGTCTTCATTCAACGACCAACAGATTTTTGCAAACACCCCAGCATTTACCCTAACTCAGAGGTGGGCAACTTGTTTGGCTCGTGGACCACATTGTGGGAATAGAGGATATCGATGGCCTTTTAAAAATTATTACATTCATTATAAGAAAAATAATAAAAAATAGTGGCACTTTTATTCAATTTATTTACTGTGTCATTTTCCTATTGTGTATAACTGCAAGCACATCCAACCTTGGAATCATTTTAGTGAGACAAATGTACCCTATTCTATACTTTTCTACAAGTTTTTTAATCATTTGCTTACAAATATATTCTTATAAAAGAGACGCCCAGTGGTGGTGTGTCGCTCTTCCACGCCGCAGATCCGGGGTTCAAACCCCGGGCTGGGAAAGGTCGATTCAGGCTTCAAGCTAAAGCTCCTCAGGGGCTGTATCAATGTCAGCAGTAATGAAATAAGACAGCAAAATGAATTTAGGCTCAATTTTCTTAAAATTTTGTGACTTCATCCTCTAAACTCTGCAGGAGATCTCTCTGTGCAAACACTTTCAGATACTTTGTTCCCCTAATAAAGGAAGTCTGTTTTCCTACGACTGTAAAAAATGAAAGACGTATCTGATCGTGCACGGGAAAGAAATATCGGCTCAAAGCGGACTGTCTGGGCAGGCTGCATATAAATTCTTTGCGGGTCTCTAGTTGGCCACCTCTGGCCTATCTCAAAAAATTCCTTACAGGCTACAAACCAGCAAAATAACTATCTACCACCAACAACGTAGGTGAGAACTAATTATCACCGAGGCAAGAGTGAACTTTAAACTACGAGGGTTGGAACTTTAATAGTGGTAACATTACTGTAAAAGCGCTACGCAACAAAACCAAAGAATGTCGTGTACACCACATGTGAACTACATATCTAACCTCTTAGCAAAAAGATTCGTCCTTCCTACGTCACACGCATTTGGTGTGGCTCGAAGAACTGATCCTTGTATTAGTTTGCGGTCTAAAGTAAGTGTTGTCAGGATGTTTTCAAAACAAAATCAATGAAGTTGGATAAAAATTGAATGTGCCATAGGTCGTACAGCATGGTAATGTTATCTAGGGCTTCAAGAGGCTTTCGGAGAATCTGCATTGCCTTACAGAACTGTAGCAACATAGGTAAAAGCCTTCAATGAAGGACGCCTAAATGTGGCAGACATGCATGGGCCACAGGGACGTCTTAAGACTCTTTGAGGCCCTGGTCCCCTATGCAAAAGTAGGCCCTACCGGAAATCTTTAAAAGTGGTCAGTATATAGCATGCATTTTCAAATAATCGTTCAAACGGTAACTTGATACAAATAAAAGTGCACCACTCACATTCTCAAAAACCTAGCTCGACCAATGGCCGCATTTCGACTAAACGAGTTGAATGATTGTTTATGGTATTAGACCTAAGCCTAGATATGGACAATAGTCACCACATAATAATACAGACTTACCACTTTTGCCAGTTGACATGCAGTTTGAAATTTTCTGTTTTTCGTAGAATATGTATAAGAATAATATTTGACCATTAAAATTATCCAGAACATGACCTTATTAAGACAGAGTCGAGAACGAAACGAGGCCCGGGCCCAGTTGGCCCATGCCTTAAGACGTCTCTGATGGGCCAGGTCGTCCTAGTGTCAGCAAAGCAGAAGTGCCGCACTGTTGCACTAGCACACAGCAAAGCAGCTGTTGCCGCACTAATGGCAGTGATCGATCCCCAGATCTAAGTCCTTGTGACTTAATTCCTAAGATGGAACAACTTCATTGCATTTGCTTCAAAACTGTTTCGGAGATTCTTGCGGCAGTAGACCGGTTCATTCTAACTATCACCGAAACAAGTGCTGCTACAGGTGTTCTGTGACTTCCTCATCGTTGGAAACGGATTATACAATACACAATGCTGGCGACTATATTGAATCTCTGTAAAACATGGTGGCAGGAATCCCTTTTGTGTAGCATCTAAATAAATAGTTGCCATTATTGAAGTTCCAACTCTCGTAGTAGCAGTTCTCCCAGATTCTAGTTCAAATGTCAATATAATATAAAAAGCTGTACTATTTCAAATCAATGGACAGCAACACGTGTGTATTGCAACAAATAAAAAAATTTCTACTATTAACGAAGAAATAGAGATCAGTAAAAAATAATTACTTTTCATCAAAAAAAAAAAAAAAAAACACGTCACAGTGAATGTAGAATTTGTTATATTTAATTGTATCCACTAAGACTATGGGTAACTTTGAATTAATAATTAATTTTAACAAGTTTTAAAAAAAATTCAAAGAGAATAAGGCATTTTAAAATAAGCAAATAATAAAAGGAAACAAATTTGAAAAAAATTAATAATAAATGGGAAGTAGAATATCATTTGAACTATAATTTAAAATTATTGAAGGAGAAAAGTGACCCCCACTCACTCATAACTCCCACTCCGGAGTTGTTAGATCTACAGATTTGAAATTTGGCAACCATATTTCTTTTATTGAGTAGAGATGATCCGGTTTTGAGGATCCCAAGGGGATAAAGGAGGTGTTATAGATTAAAGAAATCCCTGTTTTTGAACTAATTGACCTACAAACTTTATATTTGGTAAGCATATTTCTTTTTTTGAGTAGAGTTCCGAAATGAACGGGGTTTGCGGAAATCAATTCTCAAAGGGACGTAATGGCCGCGGTAGCCAAGGGGTCTAGGCATCGGATCATGGCTAGCGTGTCATGAGTTCGATCCCAGTGCCACTGAAGACCCGCCGTGTAGGGGAGCGATGCACGTTAAATCTGTCGAGTGCTCAAACGTCCTCCCGTTGGTGTGGTGTGGTATTTAGGAGAGGGGGTGCCAGCTCAGGTGTCGTCCGCGTCACTTGACCATGGCTCAAAATTACGAGGACCGTCGCCAAAAGCCCTCGTGTAGCTGAACAGTGCGACGTTAATATTCACTCATTCAAAGAGATGTAAAAGATAGTAAGATCCATTTTAAAAATTCACAAGTTTTATCAAGAAGTGGCAATAAGAATATTTTTTATGAACTATATATACCGTTGTTTTATAGTTTATCTACACAATGTGATGCACTTTATATTTCTGAATGAAGAGAGATTTGGGATGAATATATATAAATACTTAAATCATCGGAAGAGTGAAATTGTCTTTAAAATATTCAAAGTATTCTTTCTTCCATGAATCTTACTAAAACCCATCTTACAATTTATATACAGAAAAATTAAAATGTGTGTCTTAATTTTGAGGAAATTTATGATCGAGATTTTATTTTGGTTTGTCATTTGTAGCAAATGTAATTTTTATCATCTGTTTCTCTCTTTGTTTTCAATTTCTTAACTATAGTAATGGCGACAAAATCTCTGAATAATTTTACGTTGTGATTATGAAAAAAAAATTATTCCATTTTCAACATTATAAGATGGTAACTGCATAGTTTCAACCACCATAGCCAGACTACGAACAAGACATAAAAGGGATAAAAACATCCCCTGATATCTAAAAAAGTTACAATACTTGTCCTCACAGTCCTGACATTTAACACATCACTCAATAAGTCCCGGGCCTAACATATAGATGGCGCTTTCTTCTAACTTTTCTAAGCCTAACCTAGTAGTACTAACTTTCAAATGGCCCGCGTCAAAATTTCGAGAGAATATCTTGTTTAGTTTTAAAGTTACAGTGTTTTTTTGTGGCAACTGTTTGGAAACCATGGATGAAAAAGAGATTCGTGTGCTAATCAAACATTGCTTTCTGATGGGT